CCAATATTTTCAGTCTCTCTTCAAATGGAACTATTCATATGAGCATTTTCATGCTCATAAATAATTATTTTTGCCCATATTCATAGAACCATAGAATCATAGAACTGGAAGGGACCTCGAGAGGTCATCTAGTCCAGTCCCCTGCACTCAAGGCAGGACTAAGATTTATCTAGACCATCCCTGACAAGTGTTTGTCCAACCTGCTCTTAAAAATCCCCAATGATGGAGATTCTACTACTTCCCTAGGCAATTTATTAACCACTTTGAGAGTTAGGAAGTTTTTCCTAATGTCCAACCTAAATCACCCTTGCTGCAATTTAAGCCCATTGTTCTTCTTAACCTCTGAGGATAGGACAAGAAACAATTTTTCTCCCTCCTCCTTGTAGCAACCTTTTATGTACTTGAAAACTGTTAGCATATCCCCTATCAGTCTTCTCTTCTCCAGACTAAACAATCCAATTTTTTCAATCTTCCCTCATAGGTCATGTTTTCTAGATCTTTAATATTTTTTGTTGCTCTTCTCGGGACTTTCTCCAATTTGTCCACATCTTTCCTGAAATGTGGTGCCCAGAACTGGAGAACAATACTCCAGTTGAGGCCTAATCAGCACGGAGTAGAGCGGAAGAATTACTTCTTGTGTCTTGCTTACAATACTCCTGCTAATACATCCCAGAATTATGTTTGCTTTTTTTTGCAACAGCGTTACACTGTTGACTCATATTTAGCTTGTGATCCACTATGACCCCCAGATCCGTTTCCGCAGTACTCCTTCCTAGGCAGTCATTTCCCATTTTGAACACTGGATATGAGGTAACCAAAAATGAATATACAGTAATATTCCAGGTGAGAGCTCATCTTTGATTTATATAATGGCATTATAATATTCCCCATATTCTCCATCTGATTCCATATTAAGGTTTTGGCTCAATTTCATCTCTTCCAGTAGCTAGTTCCACAGTCAAGTACTCTCAGTCAAAAACATTTTATCTCTTTCTTTATTTTATACCACAAAATGTACTAAAATACAATAAATAAACTGAACTAAGTAAATACATGGAATGATTAGGGTGCACTGGCATATTGTTGCATACCTAATTCAGGACCAGCTTTTGCAGCAAACATGGTTGTTAACAAACTTGATATAACTATATTCAAGAGCCAGAACTTTTCAAAACTGTAGTCTACCAACCATCTCACCCAGTTACAGTTATAAAGAAATGAGAATGAGTACTACTATCTAAGGAAAAAGCAGATTACTCTGAATTTATGAAAAGTAATTCCAATTTTCTCATGGTCATGATGTTGCATCATTATTTCACCTATGTAAATTCCAAATTAATCTAAATTATGTTTTTCTTACAGAAAGATCCAGCAGCAAACCCACAATTTTAAATCGGGTTCTGTGACTCCCATCAACTAAAACTTCAATCACTATACCATTTCTTTTACTGTTGTAAAAAGCATGACTGTAGTATTGTTTCCACCCCAACCTACCCGTGGGATCTGTCTGAATAGTCCTGCCAAAATACCTTGTACCCTACCTTTCTTATTCAGCATACCAATAACATTTTAAATTGCCTAAATTTACAATATAGATTTATAGATTCTAGGACTGGAAGGGATCTTGAGAGATCATCGAGTCCAGTCCCCTGCCCTCATGACAGGACCAAATACTGTCTAGACCATCCCTGATAGACATTTATCTAACCTATTCTTAAATATCTCCAGAGATGGAGATTCCACAACCTCCCTAGGCAATTTATTCCAGTGTTTAACCACCCTGACAGTTAGGAACTTTTTCCTAATGTCCAACCTAAACCTCCCTTGCTGCAGTTTAAGCCCATTGCTTCTTGTTCTGTCCTTAGAGGCTAAGGTGAACAAGTTTTCTCCCTCCTCCTTATGACACCCTTTTAGATACCTGAAAACTGCTATCATGTATGAAATATACTCTATTTACATGATATAATGTAATGGTTCTGATTCTCCTCTCTGTCAGCTGGTGTTAACTGGGACTGTCTTCATTGTTAGGCTGGGAAATAGACCTCCACCACCACTGGGCCTGCACTTTAAGGTCTCTGTGACTAAATCCCTGAATACATGGAAAAACACATAGATATGTATTTACACAATAGTCTATCTATGTTTTCAATTTTCAGAAATTTCTAAAGGGATTTGTTAAAAATCCAGCAAATTAACCCTACAAAACTAGTACTGTAATGACCAATATTAAAAAAATTCAGGAAATTCAGTCTGATACTCCATCCTTGTCCTGTCCCTTTCATTCCTGGGTTATGCTGACATATTGCTATACTGAATGATCTAATTTATAATGTAATATGCGCAACATCAAGGAGCAACTAGCCAAGAAGTTAAGGAATGAGTCTTAGCTTTTTAACTCATTTTTTTCTTTGCCTCTGCTGGTGTGTGTCACACTCTTAAGGGTGTATATCATCAGCTTGATGCAGGAGGAAAGGGGAGTTTACATGCTAATCCCCACTAAAACTAATGAGATTTATGCATGGTAAATTACCCGGTGCAGTAAAATAAGAATATGTCCTTTGTTACATAAATATTGTTTGTTAAAATAAACTCAGTAAATAATATTTACAAATAAAATTAAGATAACCTTTGCATGACATCTTAGAAGTTAGAGATAGAAAAGATATAAAGCCATCTATTTAATCTCATAGCCAGTTCAGGACTCTTCCTTACATTATGTATAGAGTATTTTCCTCTGCAGTGGCTCCAAGATCCTCTGTTTAGACAGCCCTGTGCCTCTCAGGGATTTTAGGAGAACCACATTATCTGGATGAAAAGCTTCCATCTCAATCTGAGGAGTGGCAACCTTGCAACCCCCCTCTCCCTCCCGCCCCACTTTGCCTCCTGACAGAAAGATCTGGAGGGAACCTCACCACATTCTCCTCCTATGTATTCTTGCCCTGGTTTCCCCCCCGAGAAAGGGAAAAATTTGATTCACTGAGATCTATTTATGCTATAGAAGGGAAGTAGTGATGGCCTTGTCTCTTGGGACGTTTACAGCTGCAGAGAACAACTCTATAGAGCCCCCAGGCAAGACAGCTCCCAGCCCATGTAGCTAGAATACCAAAGAATCACAATGTTGAAAACTACACAACTATAAAATTACAAAAAGATACAGCATAAATAACTGCTGATATACAGTTAAGGCAAAATTTTCCCAGCTTCAGTCCAGGCAATCCCACTGGGCCAAGTTCTGCTCTCCATAATACCCATTCAACCTCAATGATCTATTTTTTTTAATCATTTTAGAGCATTCATGGATATTCAACCAATCAGATTGCTCACCTTATAAACTTGCATAATACTTTGACTAAGTTGGACACTTGGCGCTAGATCTGTAAAAAAAGTCCATTCCTTTGTAAAAGCATCAGTTGAACAGTGAGAGAAAGGGGAAACAAATTTAGGCCCAATTGCTTGCATGTCTGCAAGGTGAGAGGGTCCCAGAGCCTGCGCTGCAGCCCAATTCTACATTGCAATTAAACAGCCCCACAGCCAGAGACCCGCAAACCTGAGTCAGCTGGCAAAGGCCAGCCATGGGTTTTTAATTGCAGTGTAGACATACCTAATGCGCTGTCAAGCACACATAGTAAACAACCTCCAAAAACTGAGAACAATATTTTTTTCTTCAGTATCTTTCATTGATAGTAATCATTTAGGCCCCGATCCTGCAAATACTTATACACACATGCTTAATTTTACTACCATGAGTAATCCCACTGATTTACAGTAGTAAAGTTAAGCATGTACATAAGTGTTTGCAGAATCAAAGCTTTAGGTGTTACTTATAATCAGAGTAGGTTTTAAAAAACGCATTATTTTAGCTTGTGGTGTCCCTCTAATAAAGTGAAAGGAATTAAAATATCTTGGCTTATTTATAGAAATTTTCTACAATATCATTTTGTTTCCCATTATAATTATTTATTATTCATTAAGTGCTGATAATAGGCCAAGCATTGTACAAGACACAAGCTTAAGTGACTCTGGCAGAATTTACAATCTACAGCCCTGATCACACAAACACTCAGTCATTTGCTTAACTTTACTACCTTGACTAGTCCCATTGAAATCATTGAAACTGCTCGTGGTAGTAAGCACAATCCTAAATGTTTGCCGGATCAGGGCCTAAGGCTCTGCTCTTGCAAAAATTTACTTTACACACTGAGTAATCTCACTGAAGTCAATGGACCACTTGCAGAACATAAAGTTATACAAATGGATAAGTCTTTGTAGGATCAGAGTTTACCACAAATACTTAAGCATGTGCATAGCTTTATGCTCATGATTCATGAATAGTCAATCCCTTGACTTCAACTGGAGTACTACCATGTGCAAAGTGATGCAAATTCATATTTACAGGATAGGAAGCTTAAGGAAGAAACAGAGGAGTAGTTCTGTCATAAGTAAAGCGATTGTTTGAGAGAAGTTGTGTGTGAGTTAGTCAAAGAGAGCCAGGAGTGATGGCAGGTTGTATTTATGCAGCTTTACAAGCAATGTGAAAAGATTGGGAAGTTGTCAGAAGTAATATCAGGGATGTCTAGGGTTTCTTTATGGAGTCATTCCACATTAACTAACAAATATCTTCCCTTGAAAGTTGTGGTATAATTTGGCTTAGTGATATGAAAATTAACCACAAAGGGAATTCACTTGTCTTTGGCACTAGATTTAACAGGTTCCTTAGCATGATAACAGCCTTCTGGATGGATGCAAAATGTAGAGCAAGTAACACTGATACCTGAACAGATTCGAAAAGTCAGACTATTCTTGGTAGGGCGGGAGAGGAATAGGCGTTGGCAAGGCCACTAGAGTATCATAGATGCAATGTGCATTCTGGAGCAGGGGTGATGGAGCATGGGGGGCTCCAGGGGGAGGTTGGCAATTCCTGAACCTCAGACGTTTTAGAGGCATTCTCGTGCCATCCCCAGGGCACCCAGAGTCTGGGCTCAGAGCCTGCTCCCGCTTACCTGAGTGTGACTGGAGTGGAGGCAGGTGCGTCCCTCAGCACCCAGCCAAAGCGACTCGCCTCCCAGGCCTCCGGCCGATGCTCAGGCGCCGCCGCCGGGGCGGTTGCTAAGGACGCAGTCAGGTTGGCTCCCAACTCATTGTGACGGGGGGGAGGAGACGCTTCCGGCCGGACGCAGCAACTGGCCCGGCGGCTGCAAACGGGAGCTGGAGGCCGAGTTGCCAGTGGAAATTGATACTCCCTACGCGCGCTCCCCTTGTGCGAGGAGGAAGCGGGGGGACAGGGCGGGAAGGGCCTGGCTCAGCAGGGGGAGCATGCAGGCAGAAAGCTCGTAGAGACAGGCGGGGGCTGGGATTGCACCTGGCCAGCGGTTAGAGACTGTAGGAAGGGACAAGCAGGGGGCACCGGGGGGGTGTCTCAATGGGCCGAGGTTCCTCCCCTTCGCACACATTCTTCTCTCTTCTGCTGGGTTCGGAGTTGGCCGCCACACGTTTGGGGGCTCAGTCCAGTTTTCCCACCTCCCCCGACGTGTCCCCGGGTCGGGTTCTGAAGTTACTCGCCCCTCCCCTCCCGAGGGCCACACCAGTTTGGCAATCTCTCTCCCCCTTGCGGCTGGAGCGAATGCAGCCCTCACTCCGCTCAAAGCTGCTGTCATGTCTCTTTATTAATCGTTGTTATTGTTACAAATTGCAGAAATCGGACAGGTTAAGGCATGAGAGGGAAATGGGTGTGCTTCAGAAATGAATCCCGTGTTATTTTAAGATTCATGCTCCAATAGTTTTCTTGTGACATGCGTGTCAGGCCTTTGTCACTGACAAAGAGGTCTTAGCAAATAGAGAGGTGACTTTTCACTTTGTCTCCAGCCTCCTCACCTTCACCTGGGCAAGGAAATGCTAGTCTAAATTATTCTGTCCATCATGTGGTTGCATGGAGATATTTTTTAAAAAAACTATTTCCTTATCATTTTGTTGCCAGCATGTTACCCCCCCTCCACCCCTGCCCGGTGGTTGTTTTTTTTCTCGCTAACCTGCTATCTGTGACTAATCTGGTAACAAAAAGCCATCAATAATATATCTTTGTTCTGTTTTATTGATATGGACAGATAAAACTTAGAGAATTTTTCACTTGACCAGAGCTCAAAGAGCCGGGAAGCGACTGTAAGCACCTCCATCATCACATCACATTGCTGAGAACTGTAATTTCTCTTTTCAGCTTCGATGACAGTTTGTGTCAAGCCTATTACAAATTTATCACACTACCCTGAGGACACAACCATCAGTAATAACTCTGAAAAAACAAGATACCCATGTAATATCATTAGCTGTGTATTACATTACCAATTGCATTTGCCCATTGTCACTGATACTTAGCCTTTTGCCCTTCTCTTCCAACTAAAAACTACTTCCTAAATATCTGAGAGTGAGAGATCACACAAGTTTAGTAGTTAAGGTTGGCACAGGCTGTTTCTGACTGGTTCGGCTTGTCCCCCACATTTGCCAGCTAAAGCAAAGAAAGCATTTTTTCATGCATGTGGCAGACATGAGAATCATATTTGAATTTTAGTGTTATATTGGGATTAAAATCAAGTCTATACTAATCTGTGTGAATGTGAAGTATTTTATAATTTATTCTGTGCGCAGATGTGGTCGCCGCATCTCAAAAAAGATATATTGGAATTGGAAAAGGTACAGAAAAGGGCAACAAAAATGATTAGGGGCATGGAACAGGTTCCATATGAGGAGAGATTAATAAGACTTTTCAGCTTGGAAAAGAGATGACTAAGGGCAAGGGGGGATATGATAGAGGTCTATAAAATCATGACTGGTATGGAAAAAGTAAATACGGAAGTGTTACTTCCTCTCATAACACCAGAAGTAGGGGTCACCCAATGAAATTAACACGCAGCAGGTTTAAAACAAACAAAAGGAAGTATTGCTTTACACAATGCACAGTCAGCCTGTGGAACTCTGCCAGAGGATGTTGTGAAGGCCAAGACTATAACAGGGTTAAAAAAAGAACTAGATAAATTCATGGAGGATAGGGTCATCAATGGCTATTAGCCAGGATGGGCAGGGATTGTGTCCCTAGCCTCTGTTTGCCAGAAGCTGACAATGGGCAATCGGAAGGCACCGACTTCTCCTCTGCTTGGTGGGTGCTCGACACCCTCCCCCCGCCCTTGGCCCTGCCTCTTCCCACCCCTGCACCGCCCTCACCCTAATCCCATTCCATCCCTTCCCCAAAGTCCCAGCCCCACACTGTTTTTTCCCACCTCCATTCCACCCCTGCCCTGCCTCGCCTCTTCTCTGCCTCCTCCCCTGAGCACACCACGTCCCGGCTCCTCTCCCTCCCTCCCAGAAAGTCCTAAGTGCCACCAAACAGCTGGTAGGCGGCGGGTGGGCGGGAAGCGCTGGGAAGGAGGGGGAGGAACGGGGATGTGACACGCTCGGGGGAGGAGAAGAAGGCGAGGATGGGGGAGCTTGGCTACCGGTGGGTGCAGAGCACCCACTAATTTTTCCCCGTGGGTGCTCCAACCCCAGAGCACCCACAGAGACGGTGCCTATGGATCACTTGATGATTACCTGTACTGTTCATTCCCTCTGAAGCACCTGGCATTGGCCACTCTCGGAAGATAAGCTACTAGGCTAGGTGGACCTTTGATCTGATCCAGGATGGCCATTCTTATGTTAAGCTACTAGGCTGACCAAATAGCAAGTGTGAAAAATTGCTGGGACTGAGGGTTTGGGGGTAATAGGTACCTACATAGGAAAAAGCCCTGAATATCAGACTGTCTCCATAAAATCAGAACATCTGCTTACCCTAACCATCTGCAATAGGGTAGAGAGGCTAATTAGGCTTTGTCTATGTCTGGGATCAGCTACAGGGCAACAAACTCCAACTGGGGAAGAGGAAGCACCGCTGGAATTTAAACCTGCTGGAAAAGAGGGTGAGGGCACAACCGCTGCAAAGCTACCTTTGCCTATCTACACTGGTGCCTGAGTTGGAGCCGACTCCCAAGCACGCACAAGGCCTCTACTGCCTTCCCCAGCCCCTGAGAGCGAGCAGAGACCCACCCAGGGAGATAGACGCTCAGTGCAACCTACACCCCCGCCCCCACGAGCCCAGTAGGACACCAGAGCTGCGGGCGGCCGGGTCGGAGATGCCTATTGGCCTATCAGAGCGCAGCACCCAGCTCCATGATCATGTGACTCCCAGTGGCTGCTGCCTGGCTTTAGGGCGTCGGATTCCGGTTCCGACCCGGAAGTAGATGCTGAGCGGCGGCAGCACCGGGTTCCTGTATTGCTGTTGTTCGCGGCAGTTTGCAGCGCCCGCGTCCCCGTCGCGCTCCCCGATGCAGCCGCGGCGCCCTGAGGGCTTCGATGGGTTGGGCTACAGGGGGGGCGGCCGGGAGGAGCCGGGCCCCGGGGCCAAGCCCTACAGCTCCTCCTCGGACCTGAGCCACTGGGTCTCCAGTCCCCCCGACATCCCGGGCAGCCGCAACCTGCACTGGGGGGAGAGGACCCCGCAGTACGGGGTCGGGCCGGCCGGAACCCCCCTCGGGGGAGTCGGCCTCAACGACGAGCCGTACCCTGCCGGCGCCGGCACCAGCTCCGGTAAGGGGAGCCCGGCCGGGGCGGGGTGAGACGGTGGAGCTGGGCTAGGGGCTGATGAGATGGCGGGGCGGCGCTGGCGAGGGGGAGAGGGGAGGGTGCTGGGCTCAGGTAGGGGGGTAGCTCAGGGCGAGGGGTGCCGGAAGGGAGCATAGGAACAATAGAGGTAGACATGGACCTTTAGTAGGGTGTCTCCCTGATTCTTTTTGTGTGTCTTTTAGCAACAGTCCCAAGTAAAGGAAAATGGTTACAAAATAATCCGCCTGCCCCTTGTCCTAGGAGGCAGGGTATTCCCCCCCATCCCAGCTCCTGTTATAATGTTACAGGATCAGCACCCAAAGGTATCAGTGTCACATAGTATAAATGAGTCCCTGCCCCAAAGAGTTTATGGTCTAATCCAAGGGTTCTCAAACTTCATTGCACCATGACCCCCTTGTGACAACAAACATTTCTACATGACCCTGTGGGACCAAAGCCTGACCCCCACAGCTCTGGATGAGGGGAGGGGGGCAAAGCTGAAGCCCAAGGGCTTCAGCCCTAGGCAGGGGGCCTGTAACCTGAGCCCCACCACCACCCCACCACTGAAACCCTCGAGCTTTGGCTCCCGGCCCCAGCAAGTCTAAACTCGTCCTGGTGACCCCAGACCCACTTTGGGGCCATGACCCCCAGTTTGAGAACCACTGGTCTAATCTGACATGGAGCACAGCAGCTGAGAGATAAGGGGGAAGGCAGATAAGACAAGGGTTACAGAAATATGATTTCATGGTTACTCAGTGCAGGTGTTTGGATGGTTCCATTAAATAACTACATTGGACTGGTGAATTAACTCGCTAAATGGTGACACAGCAGAAATAAGTTTTGAGGAGCAATTCAGAATAGAAAAGGATTGTGGCTTTACAAACACCAAGAGTTTGTGTCCACTTGCAGTGCTGCAGCAGCCCTGCTCTAGTGCTTAGTGAAGATGCTACATACACTTGACAGGAGAGGTTCTCTCATCAGTGTAGGTCGGGGTCTCAAACTCAAATTACCATGAGGACTAGTTCATTGGCCTGAGGGCCGCATCACTGATACACACACCCCTCGCTTCCCCCAGCCCTGCCCCCACTCCACCCCTTCCATGAGGCCCCTTCCCTGCCTCTTCCCACCCCTTCCCTGGTCCTATTCCAACCCCTTCCCCAAAGTCCCCACCCCAACTCCGCCCCTCCCTGCCCCCAGAGGGGGCAGGAGGGGTGTGGCAGGGGCTCAGGGCAGGGACTGCAGGAGGTGTGCAGGGTGCGACAGAGGGCTCAGGGCAGGGAGTTGGGGTGTGGGGTTCAGGAGGGGTGAGGGGTGTGGCAGGGGGTTGGGTGCAGGGTGCTGCAGGGGGCTCAGGGCAGGGGGTTGGGGTGCAGGAGTGAGAGGTGCGGCAGGCAGCCGGGGTGCAGCAGGGGGCTCAGGGCAGGGAATTGGGGTGCAGGAAGGAGTGCGGGGTGTGACAGGGTTGGGGTGCAGGCAGGGGG